GATATACAACATTCAAAATATATAGGCAAAAAAAGATTATTTTCGTAATGAGTATTGTTGTGATTCGTTGAAAACACATATGAGATAATATATATAATTCAATGAAGTTTGAAGGAAAATTAAACTAGTTTGGAGTCAAATTCATTACCAATGATATAAAATATTAAAAAAAAATAGGCAAAAAAGGTTTTTTTTAAATGGGTATTGGGGTGATTTGGACTAGTTTGGTATCAAAATTCATAGTTAAAATCGAGTTTAAAAAATTCATCTGTAATACATGTATCACGCATGTATCTCAACATACAAGTATACCTTTTCTTCGAATTTTCAGTTCAACCCTCCTCAAAACTTCACCAAGGTTGAAGTTTCCTCTTAGTGACACTACATCTGATGTTTTCTTTCACCTTGTACACATGGATTATGTGGACCTTATAAAATTCGAACTTTTGATAGAAAATATTATTTTCTTACAATTGTGGATGATCACTTTAGGTACACATGGATATATTTTCTACAGCTGAAATATGAGGTCATAGTTGTGATGAAACGGTTCCTAACCATGATTCAGAACCAGTTTGGAACTTCAGACAAGCTTAGGGCTCAAACAAGCCTCAAGGCGGTGGAATCAAATTAACTGAGGCATTACTAAGTGCATGCTTTGTTCAGAGCCATCATGATTATTCATTGTTTTTATTAAGGAAGTAGGATAATCTTGTGATTGTATTAGTGTATGTAGATGATCTTCTAATCATAGAAAATAAAGCAGAGTTAATTGAACATGCCAAAGCTATTCTGCATCAGCAATTCAGAGTCAAGGACTTAGGAGAACTCAAATATTTCTTAGGCATTGAAGTGTTGAGATCCAAGACTGGAATTCTACTAAATCAAAGAAAGTACATACTGGAGTTAATCTCAGAGTTGGGGCTGAGTGGAGCTAAGCCAGCTTCTACACCTCTGGAGGCAAATGTCAGACTAACAACTGCTGAATATGACCAAGCAATCGGTGTTCGAGGTGATGAGTTACTAGAAGACATAAGTTCCTACCAAAGATTAGGGGGCAAGCTCTTATATATCACTATCACTAGGCCTGATATCAACTATGCAGTGCAAACATTAAGCCAATTATGCAAAGGCCTAAGAAGTCTCACTTGGAATCAACAATGAGAGTTGTAAGATAATTGAAAAGTGCATATGGGCAAGGCATTTTGATGAGCTCTGGAAATGCAGAAAGACTCACATGCTGGTGTGATTCAAATTGGGATGCATGTCCCAATATCAGGAGGTCTATCATTCGCTATGTTGTAAAGTTTGGAGACAGCTTAGTGTCATGGAAATCAAAGAAGCATCAAACTGTATCCAGGAGTTCAGCTGAGGCTGAGTATAGGAGTATGGCTGCAGCAGTAGCAGAAATAACATGGCTATTGGGGTTGTTTAAGGAGTTGGGAGTTCATGTTACTTCACCAGTGACAATTTTCACTGACAGCAAATACGCCATACAGATTGCAGAAAATCCAATCCTACATGAGAGAACAACACATATCGAGATTGATTACCACTTCATTCAAGACAAGATTAAGGATTGAGTAGTCAAGGCAGTTTATGTGAATACCAAGGATCAACAAGCAGACTTACTAATAAAGGGGCTAGGGACTGCACAACGCATGCATCTACTTGGCAAGCTTGATGTGCTCAATTTCTTACACCCTCCAGCTTCAGGGGCATGTTCAAATAGAGCATGTGCAACTCACGTGTATTAGTTGGTTAGGAAGTTAGTTACAAATGTTAGGCAGTTAATGACGGCTGTTAGTGAGCTATATTAGTTGGATAAGTTAATTAGAATTAGTTAGCGGTCAGTATATATGTATAGTGTTAACTACTGAATGAGCCAATGGAACAATTATCATTTCCAAATACTCTGCTTCTCTCTCTCTTCTAACTCCATTAACGAGCAAGGTGAAAGCTTCAATCCTTGCCTTTTAGCAAATTTGCTTATGAGCGGACATAACTGGTAATTTTCCTTCCTTTTAACTCCCAGCCCGTAAAAGCAAGATCATCCCTGGACGACTGATAGAGTCACATTCCCACAGCAGGGAAAAAAATAATATGTATTGAATGTTCTCAATATAGCTCGAAATACTTTGTAGCAAGAGGCAAGTCGTTCTACCATGCACATACTTCAAAAACATATTTTTCCTTTTGCCATCCGTCCTTCTTCCGTTCACTGATACTATAGCTCTACTTGTTCAACAATAAACTTTAATCTTATGAATTTTGATGTATGTGTGATGACCCGATAAGTCATCTAGAGTTTTAAACCTTAATTCTGCGTTTTGAAGCCTCAACTAGCTTCATTAAGCCTTCCTCGATTTGCATGCGCGGTCCGTGTCTTTTTCCGGTAGGCTTTTATGTAAAAAATTGATAAAAATGTGAATTTGTGCCTTAAAAGTCCACTTTGAGTTTACTTCGGTCAACGTTTTGAGCAAACAGGCCCGGATCTGTATTTTGACGGTCCCGGTAGGTCCGTATCGTGATTTGGGACCTGGGCGTATGCCCGGAATCGAATTCGGAGGTCCCTAGCTCGAGTTATCGCATTTTGTCGAAAATTTGAAGTTTAAAGGTTTAAAAAGTTTAAAGATTTTATTAAAGTTTTGACTTTATTGCTACTGGGTCCAGATTTTGGTTGCGGAGCTTGGTATATGTTCATTACTATATTTTATGACTTGTCTGCAAAATTTGGTGAAAACTGGAGTTGGTTTGACGTGATTCGGATGCCCGATTGTTGAAATGGAAATTCGTAAGTTTCAATGAAAATTTCATTTGATTTGGTGTTTGATTCGTAGTTCTAGGTGTTATTTTGGCGATTTGATCGCGCGAGCGAGTTTGTATGATATTTTTGAACTTGTGTACATGTTTGGTTTGGAGCCCCGGGAGCTCGGATGAGTTTTGGATAGGCTACAGAAGGCTTTTGGACTTAGAATCATAGTTGAAGCCTTTGTGCTTCTGGTGTCTACTACAGACTTCGCAATTGCGAGGTCTGGCTCGCAAATGCGAGACCTTGCATTTGCGAAGGAAACATCGCATTTGCGAGCATGGGCTGGGGGGTTGGTTTCTCGCAATTGCGAGTACTCTGCCGTAATTGCGAAAGAGGCAGGTTCGCATTTGCCAACAAACAGTTCGCATTTGCGATGGGGACTGGGGAGAAGCTTGTTCGCATTTGCGGTAAGGCCCAGTTCGCATTTGCGAATAAATCATCGCAAATGCGATAATAGCAGAAATGTGGGGACTTTGCATTTGCGAAGGAAATCTTGCATTTTCGGGGTTCGCAATTGCGAACCTTAGGCCGCAATTGCGACATCTGCGCCTGGTCAAAAAGTTGAGTTAGACGAGATTTTTCTCATTATTTCAAATTTTCAAACCTAGAAGCCTTAAAGGCAATTTTTCCAAGAACTCTTCTTCCCCAATTCATTGGTAAGTAATTCTAACCTACTTTCTTTCAATTACCCATTACATTTCATAAGATTTCAACCTAAAATCTAGGATTTTCATGGTAGAAATTGGGGAATTGGGTAGAATTAGAGATTTTTGTAAAATTGGAATTTAAACCTCAAATTGAGGTCGGATTTCGAAACAAATTACATAACCGGGATCGGGAGTAAATGGATAATTGAGTTTTGGTCCGAATTTTGGGTTTGGACCAAACGAGCCCGGGAGTTGACTTTTGTTGACTCTTTCAATAATGACCTAAATTGAACCTTTTTCATTTGCGGGTAGTTCCTAAGGCTTATTTTGAATCTTTTGGTTGATAATTTGCTATATTTGGTTTTTTCAGAGGCTTTTTCGAAAGGCAAAGCCGTGGTTGAGCTTTGAGTCGATTTTGGAGCGAGGTAAGTGTCGTGGTTAACCTTGACTTGAGGGATTAGGACTTGTTTGCCTATTTGCTACATGTTTAAATGTTGGGTACAGCGTATATGTGAGGTGACGATTACTTATGCGTTGTTGTTGGGTTAAAGCATGCGGGTGGGACTTGTTTCTTGTAATTTACTCCTTTCTTTTGATTATGATATCCATGCTTAGACTAGTTTATTACTAAATTGATCGTTCTTTCCGCATTTATGAGCTATTTGTGATAATTGAGTATTGTTTTTGAAGTTGAGGTTGGTATTGTGAAACCGTTGTTGACATAAGGTTTATTCTTGCTTATTCTATCTCCCAATTGTTATATGTTCATTGTTACATGGTAAGGGAGAGTGTTAAAGCACGAAGGGTGATGCCGTACCAATTGCTACTGTAATTATTGATTAATACATAGTGAGGAAGAGAGTTAAAACACGAAGAGTGATGGTGTGCCGTATTTATTATTTAATGATGAAATTGAGAGGAAAAGCACGAAGGATGATGTCATGCCGTATTTATCATTTTAAGGAGAGATTGAGAGTAAAAGCACGAAGGGTGATGCCGTGCAGTTTTTATTCATTATGTTTATCCGTTTCGTTGGCTGAAGGTTTATTGATTGTTTCATGTTGTTATTCCCTGTTGTAGTTACCGTATCTTGTACCCCTTTCACATGTCCCCTACCAATAGTACTTGTTTAATCTTTATTTGTTGTTATGTTGTACATATATTTTCGTCTGTACATGTTTAATTATGTAGGTGTCCTGTCATAGCCTCGTCACTACCTCGTCGAGGTTAGGCTCGACACTTACGGAGTACATTTGATCGGTTGTACTCATACTACACTCTGCACTTCTTGCGCAGATTTTGGTACTGGCCCCAGATATACGCAAGGTGCATCAGCTCGGATTAGCATTTGGAAACTCGAGGTACATCTGCTGGCGTCCGCAGACCTTGAAGTCTCCTTCCTTTTTCCCTATTTACTTTTCATTTTATTTGCCCAGAATAACTCTTATTGGTATTAAATTTCTTATACCTTGTGAAACCCTTCAAATATATGAACTGAGACAAAAAGAATTACCAGAAGAAAAGAACCCAGATGAAAAATTAGAGTATTACCCGTAAGAAACCAGTGCGTATTTAAAATTTCTCAAGGTTTGGTTCCATCCTTTTTCTTCTTCTTCTCCTTTTGAAATTCCTTTTCTGCGTTTTCTGAAGCAGAACCCTTTTTCCCCTTTCTTTCTTTCATTTTTTTGATTTAGTTACAATTATGGGCTTCGGCCCTTTTAGTGAATCCTTATTCTTTTCCTTTTTTTTGATTTTTTATGCTAGTTTCTTATTATTATTATTATTATTATTATTATTATTATTATTTTGCTAATGACCAACACACCCTTATTAAAAAAAATATAGGGTATTACATCCTCCCCACTTTATGAAGTTCGGTCCCCGAATTTAACTTAAGTACGTACCTATAGACTGAAACAAATGGGGGTACTTGACTCGCATAGCATCTTCTATTTCCCAAGTAGCTTCTTCAACTGTATGATTTCACCATAAAACTTTTACGAACTCAATTTCTTTTGACAGTAGCTTTTTTACTTGCCTATCAACAATAGCCATCGGCTCTTTCTCGTAAAACAACTTCTCATCAAGCGGTATAGTTGGTGCTTCAAGCGCCTGAGATGAGTCTGATATACATTTTCTTTGCATTGAGACATAAAACACTGGAGGAATAAAGGACAACTCAGGAGGAAGTGCCAAACAATAAGCAACAGCTCCCACTCGGTCTAGTATCTCATACGGTCCTATAAACCTGGGGATCAACTTGCCTCTTTTCCCAAACCGCATCACACCTTTCATAGGGGAGACTCGTAGGAACACTTTGTCCCCAATTGTGACCACTAAATCTCTTCTTCTCTTATCAGCATAAGACTTTTGTCTGCTTTGAGCTGTAAGCAATCTCTGTCTGATCAACTGGACTTTGTCCATAGCTTCTTGTACTAAGTCAGGTCCCAGTAAGTTGGTCTCACCAGCTTCAAACAATCCGATAGGAGAATGACATATTCTACCATACAATGCTTCGTACGGTGCCATTTGAATACTGGACTGGCAGCTATTGTTGTAAGCAAATTCAGCTAAAGGTAGATAAGCGTCCCAACTACCTCCAAACTCAAGAATGCAAGCTTTCAACATATCCTCCAAGATATGTATAGTACATTCAGACTGCCCGTCTGTCTGTAGATGAAATGCAGTACTAAGATCTACTCGTGCCCAATGCTTCTTGAAAAGATTTCCAAAAGCGTGAGGTAAATTGTGATCCTCTATCAGAGATGATGGATATTGGAACCCCGTGAAGTCGGACAATTTCGTTCATAAATATCTGTGCATACCTCACTCCGCCTACAGTCTTTACTGGCAAAAAGTGTGATGATTTCATCAGTCGATTTACAATCACCCATACAGAGTCATAACCTCTAAGGGTTCGTGGTAGCCAGGTGACAAAGTCCATACTAATTCTTTCCCATTTCCACTCTGGAATCTCAATTTGTTGTAGTAGTCCTGCGGGTCGCTGATGCTCAGCCTTGACATGCTGACAAGTCAAACAACTAGAAACGAAGTTAGCAACATCTTTATCCAGACCTTCCCACCAATAAAATTGCTTCACGTTATGGTACATTTTTGTAGATCC